AGTCCCCTGTAAACTAAGAGGGCAGAGCACAGATAGCCATTTGTCTAGCTTTGTCCTTTAGAACAAACAAACAAAGTCCCCTGTAAACTAAGAGGGCAGAGCACAGATAGCCATTTGTCTAGCTTTGTCCTTTAGAACAAACAAACAAAGTCCCCTGTAAACTAAGAGGGCAGAGCACAGATAGCCATTTGTCTAGCTTTGTCCTTTAGAACAAACAAATAAACAAAGTCCCCTGTAAACTAAAAGGCTAACTTATTTGCCCGAATATAAATGTGCACCCAATTTGGACGGGTTAAAATTAAGAAAATTTGTTTTTTAGACGCCAGTTGTACAGAATGAACTAAATCATTTCTAAATACAGTAAACAATTATGGATGTATCAAACATTTTTGGAAATCTTTCATTGGAATTCTTTTACGTGTCAATTTTACAAAATTAATTGAAAAGTTGATGCGTGGTAATACACGTTAATCATTCATCTACGTGGTAATACACTAAGCTAATCGTTACTCTACGTGGTGATGTACTATGTTAATCATTAATCTTCACGTATATCTCCGTCATCGCTAGAATTGTCGCTACCAGCGGATTTACTTTGCTTCATCCTCTTCTGATTCCCACAGCATGTTATCATCCATTGCATTGGATATGCAACATTTTTTTGAAACCTCTAATGATGCTTTATTGATTTTCGGTGGTAGCTTGTAAAATTCCTAACGAAATTGAGCATGCGCGAATATAATGCGCAGTCAATTATTCGGGAAGGGAAAAAAAGTGCGTATTATATTCGGACAAATACGGTAATTTGTACTATTGCGTTTTTGTCAAAACGAGTTATGTGTCAATTTTACTTTTTTTATGTGCGATTTACTGAAATGTAATTAATTCTTGCAAAATTTCAAATCGCGAGAATGTTATAGATTGGGGAAGAATTCACAATCATGAATGTAACGAGACATTTCGTGAATTTTATATACAGTAAAACTTATTACTTTAAATGTAAGAGTTTTGTTACGAAATGCGTGCCCTGTTTAAAATATAGATAATTCATCAAAACTGGGCAATTTTGTGTTGATTCTATTAAAAGGTTAAGTATTTGTACATGTTAGGCTTAGTAGAATCAGGTAATTACAATATCAAATTTTGTAAATAATATATAATATTTGTTCACTGCCGTACAGTAGTAACAATTAAAATGAAGTTTTCAAAAACCCGAAATATATCAGCTTATCTATTTGTGATCCTGGCATGGTCTGGTGGCTAGAGGGCGCTCGACTCGTACTCTACGGGTCACGGGTTCGAACCCTCGTTAACGAACATGCTTGCCCTTTCAGCCGTGGGGACATTATAACGTCATGGTCAATTCCAATATTAGTTCGTAAAAAAGTAGTCCAAGAATTGGCGTTGAGTGGTGTTAATTAACTTTAGGGACGGTTAGCCCTCGAGGAGCTTTGCGCGAAATTCCAAACCAAATCACCTATTCTGTAAATCTCAGTCTCTTTCAAGCTTTTCCAGTAATAAGAATGATCTATTATTACCACTAAAGTGACCATGACTGGCTCTTCCTTTCAAATATGTACTGAATCAACAGAGATAAGGACAACCTCTTTTTGTTTGTTTCTTATGGATTTCGCGCAAAGACCAGAGGGAAGGCAGCTAGTTATCATCACCCACCGCCAACTCTTGGGTTACTCGAATAGTGGGATTGACCGTCACATTATAACGCCCCCACGGCTGAAAGGGCGAGCATGTTTGGTGTGACGGGGATTCGAACCCGCAGATTGCGAGTCGAACGCTCTAACCACCTGGCCATTCCGGGCCCTTTTTGTCTCTAACCGAGACTAACACTTATTTCCTAGACGTCTTTTCTAAATAACCTCTCTAGTAGAAATAAGATAAACGATAAATCCATTGTAAGAGACACTAAATATACTCTTTAAAGGCTCAAACTACTGTGCATTTCTACAGAATGATTCTAAAATGATTTCATACGTTTCTGTATTCAAGACACTATTTACTGACCTATAAAATGTCAAAGAACCAACTATCAAACAGTTGAAAAGTAAATATTTCCAATAAGGCCATCTACGTAATTCCGGTGACATAATGTCAAGTACTTTAAGATTCCTTTGTTATTATTCGATCTAAGCAGATTGGCTGTAGTCAATGGCGTCGCCAGCACCATTTTTTTTGGGGGGGGGGGTGTCAAGCCAAAATTTTGTGGGGTAAAACAAGACATCTGATATTCACGTGTAATTTTAAAGAGATTCCTTATTCTCCCCCAAATTTTACCGTGCTAAATTTGTTTGTTTGAAGTTAAGAGCAAAGCTACACAATGGGCTATCTGTGCTCTGGCCACCACGGGTATCGAAACCCGGTTTCTAGCGCTGTAAGTCCGCAGACATGCCGCTGTGCCACTGGGGGCACGCGAAAGATACCAACATTACTTCAGGCTCTTGTTTTGCGTAAATATAATTTCGCGTAAGCCTGATCGTGAAAGTCTGAGTCATCCACCAGTTTTGTCTATGGTGTTATTACTTGTCAGTTGTAGCGTATTTCGATCAATTGCCATCATATCTTATTTTATATATATATATCACCATATAAATAGATGTAAACATATCGAATTCAAGTTATTACGTATACAGTATCAACAAGTAACACTGCTGTTGGATACATGACAGTCTTTAAAACAACAGATTTAAAGGCTTCAAGTTTTCTGCTTCAAGATATAACAATATATTTTACTGTTGGTGGGCAGAGCACATATAGCCCATTGTGTAGCTTTGTGCTTAGGTGCAAGCAAATCTTTTTCAAAAGTGACACCTGACGTTAGGCAGATATTCTAAGAAACCTTTTGGGTTGTTTTCACAGTAGCTTGGAAAATACCTCAAATCATGTTTCGTGTTTTTCTAGGCATTAACAAAACAAGGGGTTGTGAATTATAGATGTAACAACCAACTGTGAAAATAACAAGTTTTTATTGACTAGTGAACTTGACATTCGTAATTACAAAGTAGAAAACTATACCATAATTATCCACGCTTCTTCTCTTCAGAGCATTGCGTATGAAATGTTTATGATACTAATGATACAATTTACACTGCAAATAAAGGGTTACACCTGTAAACAACAGAAGCTATTCTAATATTTGTTTTTTACTTGTTTACAGTTCGTAACTCAAAACAACTGATGTCATAGAAACTCCGAAAACTCTACAATAACCACAAATAAATATATATAACATTCAAACACCGTTTCACTAACTAGGTTCCAGTTGAGCAAGAAAAATGGCATGATTACATTCTGTCAGCTGTAGCAATAAGACAGTGCAGAACTAAAGCCCGAAGTTGCTGCGATCTCTAAGCCTAACTGCCAATTCGATTTTTCTGTATTATAAGGCGATTCAGATCATTATAACACGCATGACACTAGAGAAATTATACACTTGTTAATATGCATTGTTATCACAGCTAAGTGTCTTCATCGCTAACAATGGTTTTGATTCAAACTCATTAGAGCTTTATTTAATTGATATACAATTAGGTAAGTCCATGGTTATATCTTATATAGGGGGGGGGATGATTTATGAGCACTGAAGGAAGTTTTCTATGTAAGCGTGTTAACTGCTTTGCATAATGATTTAAATGAACTTTGAAATCCTTCCGAAATCCTCACGTTTCGCATGCAGAAGGGATTTTCTGCATAATACCGTGAGACTTAAAGACTAAATATGTTCTCGTTAATAGCAAGAAGGTTACCATAGTTGTGATTCTCGGTCAGAACTGTGTGAAGGTGCTTGGTATATCAGACAGATTAGGCCAAATTGAACATGTTTTCTGTTTCTTTCGAGAATTCGCGCAAAACTGTACACAAAGTATATCTGTATCAACTGTAGCTGATTTTAAACTGATAGACTAGAGGGAAGGCAACTAGACAATAGCATCCACCGCCAAACCTTGGGCTACTCTAAATGAATACTTGGTTCGATTGTCACACTTATAACGCATTCAGGGCTCCGTAACGCGAAGCGCATTTTTTCAGAAACCGGACGAAGATCCATAGTCTTGGGTCACGCCTAGCCCAATCCAACATGGAATTAAGTAACATACAGAATGAATGTATGAAAAGAACTGATTTTAGATCTACATTATATTACAAGTTAAGGCTTTTACAATAAAGAAGATTTATTTTTAGAACATGTACGACGTTTCGATCGCTGGTGCGATCATTCTCAAGTTTTAACGGTAAAGAACGTTTTTACTTGAGAATGATCGCACCAGTGATCGAAACGTCGTACCTTTTCTGACAACAATCTTACTGTAAAAGCTGTAACTTGTAATATAATATAATTAATCAGTAAGTAAACTCAAAACGAAACTATTGATTTTAGAACTGTTTAGCAGAAACACAGAAAAGAAAGTAGTTTTGATGTCTGTAAGCTTAGCCATCACACACTTGGATATTTGTAAAGTTTTCTG